AGAGACATTTCGGCATGCCAAAGCAAACGATGAGGGGCTAGATGAAAAAATAGAGAAGCTCTCTGCCCACTGGAACTTTGCTAGCACACCTCTTTAACACGTAAGCGACAATTACAGTGCTGCAGTTGTAGTTGCAAGATACAGATACATCAGCAACAGTATCCAGAAATATGGGGAGAAAAATCAACCCGTGAGTCATAAATTCACATCGACGCCCCCACGATTTTTTCACCTTCTTTTTGTTGTTTTTTATTTTGTTTCATTTTTTTGCAGACACACAAGGGGGTAAATGCAGCCAGCCAGACGGGCGGGAGATAAAGATAATGTATACGGCGTGGCTTACACAACGTATCCGAGAGATACAAGACAATTAAAGGCAGCCGGCAATCGCTTTAATTGTGATTTTATGCAAATATTCGCCAAGCCCGAGATTCTTAAAGGTTTACTCTGCCGATTGAATTAAATTTCCGTTCTCAGCTTAACTCGCTTATGGCATGTTTATTCGGCTTGCAGAGCACCTCCTCTCCTGACTCATCCTCGGCTCGGAGTTTTTGGTTATTGTATATTTTTGCTGCAAATATTTTCCAGCATCCGTTCTCCAAGGGAGCGGCGGTTGTATCTGAATTTTGTGCTAGCTGACTGCCTTTACCTCCTTCAATTCCTCTACATTTTTACATTTGCCGCACTTGCAATTTACTTGAAATTGTCTTCAAAGAAGCATAACAATAGCAGCTGCATAACTGCCCCAACGTCTGAAGTTTTAGTTGCTGTAGTTGCAGCTTGCAGATTGCAGTTTGTGATCAAGTTGCAGCACGCTTATCCTTTGACAGACTTTGATGGACAGCAATCCGAGAATATTGTGCAAGTTTGTTCCTCTTTACGGTGATTGAAGCAAACCACTTTTGATTATATCTATGGCTGGGTGTCGGAAGATTACATTCAAGTCAACTATTTGTCTGTCTCTTGTAATAAGTTAATTTAGAAGTAATTGTAAATAGTTGTAAATCACGAGATATGTAAAGTTTTCAAATGATTCTTTGCCAAACGTACATCTTAAAAGATATTTTGTTGTTAGCCATCTGAATATTTGCCTTAAAGTTCTTTTGGTTTACGAACTTGTTTGTCCAAGGGGAGACTTTTTGGCAATTTAATTAAAACTCTCAGATATTTCTGGTTTTTACGCAAGGCAATCAGGGCACCCACCTGACCAGCATTTTATCCGCAATTGGCCAGTGCTGCAATTACAACCAGTGGCCATGCCACAAGCTAAGCAAACATCTCAAAACAAAGGAACTATTTTTGTATCTCTATTTCAACCACAGAAGTGGAAACTCCTTCCCTCTATAAAATTCCTTCCTTTGCTAACTTTGCTAAGCCGAAAGTTATCCTCCCATAATGTAAATGAGTTTGTTTGCCATTTTTGTGAATTTCTACTTGGCTCGACATGTGTCCGGCATGCGAAATAATTAAAGAAAATATTCTTTGTTTTCCTTCCATTGGCTTTGCGACTTAAAGTGGGTGAAATGGCAAGAATGCAGATCATGAATACCGAATTAAACCTCCATTCAATTTGTTTAAAGGGGAAACGGATGTGGACCTCCTTCCTGACCAGGGCAATAAAACATAACAAGTTGTCACAAGTGTGACACTGATTGAAATTATAAACTGTCACCAGCAGGGACATCCCTTAGATACATCTCTGCGTAGATACAAACATACGAGTGGGTGTCGTGCCGTGTATATTATTTGAGATTTTTGCATACAAATTATGCCAAAAGTCTGTCTCCTGGCAACTCCAGCGAATGTATTCCAAGTATTTGCCCAGAGAAAGTGTTGACGATTTGGGGACGGGAAAAGGGGGAGCGGGGGGATGTATGGGGAAGGTTTAGGGGGAATTTTCGGGGTATGGACAAAGTTTTCGCCTGCTGCTGTGCGATAGAAAAAATATTGTTGCGCATTAAGTCTGGCTTGCAGGGATAGTTGGCAGTTTTAGTCCCAGTTCTAGTGGCAGATGCACTGGAGCCCATGCAGACTCAATTTTTGCCCCCCTTCCATCGTTTCTCCGGCAGTATAAACTTTTAATTTGTGCGTAGCTAGCGAAAGTATATGAAAAATGGCACAAAAACAAAAGTTGAGCATAAAAGTAGATGCATGGATGCAGGTTTAAGGAGAAGGAGAAGGAGAAGGGGGTAAGGAGCTGGGACAGGAGCCAGTAATTGAGGCAAACTGTGAAATACGAGTACATAACGAGTCTGCAAAAAGCAGGCCAAACAAATTAAAAAGGCGCGAGCCTCGGGGGAATATTGGGGCAGATCAGGACACAGGGATTGAAGGATAATTAAGTGACTGCGTAACGAGGTAAAAACTTTCTCCGATGAAGTCGATTTACCTATTTTCCTATCGGTAATAAATATGTATTATGTTTCATGTTTCATATACCAGAAAGCCCGTTTAAATGGCTTTCGTTTGGCAGCAGTCTTTAAATCTTTTTTAAATCAACTTTGAAGCAATGCAAGTTATAGAAAAGCCGAAATAAAAATGCCTTGCTCAATAAATTCGAGTTACTGTTAATTTGTCGAATTTCCCATCCTTTTCTATTGATTAGGTATTGATTAGGCGAGTAAATAATGCAGAGCGACAGCAGCTTACATGTTCCACAGTGAGCAACAAAAAAACATGTTCACGAAGTTGCAGTCCTGGTAGGAAAGGATAGTTGGAACAAAGTCAAGTAAACTAAATTTCAATTAGTGAGCACTGCCTTAAAAGAAGAAGAGGAGGGGTGCGGGGGGAGAAGTGGGGAAGGAAGAAGCAATGTCAAAAAACAACTCTTCTATATTCAACCAAAGTTGGCTTCGGCTTAAAGTTGACAATTAAAAACTTTTTCGGAGCTTTTTGTGTTCTCTGGTTGTTTCTTTTGTTGTTGTTTTGCCTTTGCTATCAGTCGTTGTTGCTTTATCTTGTTAAAATTATATTTTGAAATACCCTTAATGATGATAAATTAAATTTTTTGAAATGAAATTTTTACAATTTCATTGAAATAATTTCATATCTTTATAGAGATGGTTCGCCTTTCAATATTTTTTATTTCAAATTAAAAACTATATAGCAACTGACTAGTCACTTAATTATTGGAACAACTAAAAAACTGCAAGGGTATAAAAACTTTGGCTTGCGTAATTTCCTTTTTTTTTTATCTTTTTCTGTTTTTTATCTGTTTCTGTTAACACAGAGAGACAAAGTTTGGCAAAAGCGAAACTGTGCAAATTAGTTTAGTTTACTGCTGTTCTGTTGCTTCTTTGAAATGATTTACATTTTCTGGTTCTAGAAATAAATTGAAGTTATCTCCGGTTCTAGTTGGGCAAATGAAGAATGCCTCAACAAGTTGTTGGGGCTTTGCCTCTTTGTGGAGGGGAATCAGTTCGGATCGGGGATTGGGGAACTGATTCTCCGATCAAATTAAAGTTACTTTTCACATACGACAAAAGCCAGTTTACGACGTCGACGGCGGCAGAGAAAGCCGCGACATGTGGGCGGCAAAACACACACACACAAACACAGATACAAACGCACACCAGTGCACTACTCACCTCGGCCAAACCCAGCGGGAAAAGGTGTGGAAAATATACTATTTTCCTGTGCTTTCTTCATACAAGCGGAATGTGGAAAAACCCCTTTACCCCTTACATTTTTGCCGTCTCTCCTTTCAAAATACACGGGGGTGACACAAAAATGAAGGGGTAAAGGGAAAAATCCAGTGGACCTACAGCTGCTGAATGCAGGGCAAAATCCTGTGGATGCTCTGGCTGCTGAAAGCAGGGCAAAATCCTATGGACCTACAGCTGCTGAATTCAGGGCAAAATCCAGTGGACCTACGGCTGCTGAATGCAGGACAAAATCCACTGGTTTTTTTTACAGAATTTCCACAAGCAATAAAAAAACAATACTTTTTAATTTGGTATATGCATTTATTAATCTATTTACAGTCCAAGGGCCTTTATCATAAATATTGTTGTATGTTTTATTTTTTGCCTTAGTGAACGGTGAACGCAGATCATCTTGATATTGGGGAAGACTGTAATTGTCGTTTCTGAGTGACTCTGAAAATAAAAACCATAATATGTTAATATATTACATATTAATACAAGTAATAAATATATAAAAAGTAATGGGAAAAATGGAGAAATTTAGAAAAATAAGTAATAAACATAGTAAAAAGCATGGGGACAGGGCTGTTGAAACTTATTAAAAATTTAGTGAGTACTTACAAATTCTTCTGGATTGGCTTCGGCATCGGAGTCCAAATGGCCGAGTTCTTCAAATGACGAAATCGAATTGTCCGCTTGCGCCTGTTCAGATTTGCCGTTAATATTAACACAAGGGCCAGAATCTTTGAAGTCGAATCTATTACAAACTCTAAAAAAAACATTGTTTGTTCTTTTAAAATTGAAAAATAAATTTAAATGAAAAACTTACACACTTACTTGACAAACGCCTCCGGCGGCTAAAATGTAGTTTTTGGAAAAATGCCTATGTTCACCATATCCGTAACGCTGAAATAAGGATATACATACAAAATATATTTATGTTATAACTTACCTTTATCTTGTTTTTTAAGATTAACACAACGTTTTTTCACTTTTTACACTTTTTGCACGAAATTTTATACTGATGTGACCGTGCATCATAACATAATTTATAACAACATTCCGAAGAAAGACAATAATTAGTCACAACTTCGTTGTAACTTATGGTCATATTCAGAAACCCACCCCATTTAGCGGTCCGAAATTATTTACCCCTTCCCAACGCCTGCCAAAAGAAGTAGGTTTTCATCTATCCCTACCCCTACGCCTGCTAAAAGCAGTAGGTTTTCCACTGGTTTTTTCAGAACAAAAAAACCTACTTCCCACTTTCCCGCTGGGAAACGCTGCGACTGCGCTGCTTCTGCTGCGACGGCTCGAAACTGGTTTTTATATGCTATATGCTACACACATACATACATATATATAGTATTTCTGGCTTAGCTTCTCTTCTCGTCGATATATGCGTGTGTATGTACCGCTTTGGTATTTCTCCTCTTTTTTTCCAATATATATGCTTTTTTATGGCGTTGCGAAACACTCGAGTAGGCTTTTGCCGCTGTTGTTGTTTTTGGCCTGTGGGTTCTGTTGGCCCATATGAGACAAGCATTCAATTAAGCCCCACAATTGGCCAGCAAACAAAAGAAATCACACAAATAAACACTGGCGCACTGTTTCACCCATTCGAACACAGATAACCTGTGTGCTTCACTTGTCGCGCGCGCTTTTCTTCAGCTTTTCCTCGACCGTTAGCGTGGGCGTTTGGTCAGGGGGGCGGGGGCTTGGCGGGGCTGAACGGACCGCCGAGCGGCTCTAGACTATGGATTCGAAGTTTGTAGCTCGTAGCGATTCGGTTTACCAGACAACAACAGCGCGCACACATCCGCACAGCACAAAGTTTATAAACAAACTGAAACTGAAGCCGAGCAGCGACGCCGAGCGCCAATGCCAACGGCGACGCGGCAGAGGGGCGGCAGCGGCGGTGGCGGCAGCAGAACGGCCTCCACAATGGCAGCCGGCTCCAAGCAGGTTCGAAGTCAGCCTGCAACTCAAACATGTTCGAAGGGCAACAGGGCCCGGATGGTGGGTGGTGGAGCGGCCCTGAATCGCAAACAATTGCTATTAAGTATTAATAAAATTATGTCAAAATGACATCAGGCTTCATTTTAAGGTATTCTATCATACAAATGCAATTATTACAGGTGTAATAAACATATCAATACAACATATAATAATATGTGCTAGATATTACAAAAGTTTTTAGTGATTTTTTATTATATTATATTAATTGTAACGTAGATTATTATAGGTAATTAAATTGTGTAATTAAAATGTATAAAAAAAAAAAACAAATTAAAATTAATTTTTAACCTAGATATAAATATAAAACTTTGAGATATGCCTTAAATAATTTTCTTTCATAACTTCAATTAATGATATGTATATATTTGTCATAATTTAAAAACTCAATCAACCCTCGCTTTGGTTTGGCTGTACCAACCTGTTTGAGTTCGATGTGTTGCATTTCGAGTGGAGGCCGCAACTTCCCGAACCAAAGACCACTAATGTAAAGTACGATTATAAATAAAAAGGTAACGAGGGTATAAGCACGACAACGACTTCGATCGAACTTATTTGATTTAACGGAAAATAAAAATCTACTTCTTTGGTTCCTCCCCTTTCCCTTTCTCCTTAAAGGTAGACTTTCATAGCATTTACATTTCATTTTCATTTTTCTTCGTCGTTGATTGTTTGTTGATGTCTTGTCATGGAGCTTTTTATTTTACATTTTTTTTTGCTGCTGCTGCTGACGCTGCTTCTGTCACCGACATTGTTGTTGCTGTCGTCGTCGCTAAGTCAATTTTAAGGTTTATTTGAATTTCATTTTTCCTAGTTTTTTCTCTACGTATTTTCGCTTTTTACTTCGTCTTCGCTCGTTGCTGTTGATATTTTTAGTGTTTTATGTAAATTTTTAAGGCGCTATTGAAGCCATGTTTGCCGTCTGCCCTTCTCTTTCGCTCCCGCAATCTTCAGACTGGCTTGCATACTTGCTAATGAGGTTGACTTTATGCCCGGCCGGGCCCGGCCATACTTATTGGTTTTCCAATTTCAGTTTTTTTCAGCTCCTAGCCAGCATCCTTTCTCCTTCGTGCGCCTGTTGCTTGTGTTTGCTGCAAACTAATAACAAATTAATTTTGATTTGAATTATTCATGCTCGGCTTAACACTCGCAAATTTTAGAGCAAAAGCACACAAGCACGCACACTGACAAACAAATTAGCATTTCGGATTCGGATAAACCGATTTAACACGCTGGATGCAATTAGCGCACTTGGGGATCCGCTTTGGCCCAAAATGAAATTCAATTCCAAATACTGAAACCGCAATAAATATAGACCAGCGTCTGTTCAGTACAATTATTCCAACCAATAGTTCCCTAAAAGCTAAACATATGTGACTGAAAGTAAATAATGTGCATACATTATGGACTGTTTAGAAGTCATAATTTAAGACTCATGATAACATGCGGATGGTTTGAGTCAAACCTTCTAATTTTACCTCTGTTATTACCAAATAGCAGATGCACTCCGAGTCTTCCACTGATCGGATATCTGACTTAATTCGGCTTTAACTAGGTCCCCTTTCCTATCCTGTTTTCTACCTCCAGCAGGCAATCAACAAAGACAACAGGAAGGTGAAAGGAGCAAGGTAAAAGGAGAAAGTCTGAGACCCCCGATTCTCTCCTTTCAAACGTCTATCCTTTTGGTACCGTTAATGATGATGCCACACACGTGTTTCTGCCGCTCTGCTTGTGTGCGCGCATACGTGTGTCTGTGTGCGAGAAGGATGCAGCTGAGCTCCAGTAGGATGCACTCATGCAGCTTGATTGGCCTCCTCGTTTAACCAGCCAACCTCCTTCTTTTTGCCATCCGCCCCATCCTCCCCCTGGCTTTCATTCTCCTCGCCCACTCAATGACAGTCAAAGCCAAAGAAGAGAAACAGGTGGGGAATAAACTAACTAAGATGGAGGAAATAACTTCCTGCACTTTATATTTTACTGTTTTTTGCCTTGCTAAATAAATGGGTTAGTATTACCAAGGACACCTGATATACTGACGGAAAGCAGGGGAGGAATTCTTGCTAAATTGAAAACGTAGGCATAGCAACTAAGAGGGTATTATATTGCCAGGGGAAATTAATTTATAGCAAATCTATGGGGGAAGAAGACATAGCAATATATAGTGCTTTAAATAATGATATTAAGTATTATTTAGGGAAAAGTATGTTGATATAGGAAAATTAACAAAATAGGCATGCTTAAGATACCCACTATTTCCTTTAACCAAACAAAATACTTTACCCGTATTCTTGTAACTTTTCTAGGTAATATCTAGTCAGATTTTTGGGATACTCCGCAGATGACATGCCAGATTTTCGATTGTTGCCCATAGCAATCCATTTAAATTAGCTGTCATTATTTATGAACACTGCCCAATGGGTCCTTCCAATAAATCCTTTGTCCCCGAACTTGTCGCACATTTGTGGGCTAATTAGTTGGTCCGCAGTTCGGAGCCCAGCGTGGAATTATTGTAGTGCCGGCTAGCTGATAAAGCCCAAAACATCCTACCACAAAATGCCATCATCATCATCGATGGCGCCGCAACTGTCAGTGCAGTCCGGTCCATGATTTATGCCTGGATTTGGCCGAGGGGCCTCAGAATAAACATTTCGGCCAAAAACTGAACTGAACCGAAAACCAGACAAAGCCAAACAAAACTATTGCTAATGAGGTCCGCAATGCGCGAGGCAAATAAATTCAGAAGGGAGCTGACCGCCTGACCCCTGACCCCTTAACCCAAACCCCAAACTCAAATTCACGCACTCGACCCTTTGCCCCAAACTTCACCCCTTTGGCCGCCGAAAAAAAAGGCTTCTCCGCTAATGACCAAAAGCGGATTTCGCATTGCAGGCAATTATTATTTCTTGTTCTCCCCCTTTTTTTTCAAACATAAATTAAACTAAGCCGCTCAAGTGGTGACCCCACAAAGCTCCCAACACCCCTGCTCACCACTTTTCGGAAAAAAACTCCCCGAAAAGTAAGTAAAACCCGGTGAACCGTTTCAATTTTGTACATTTCTTGATTCACGGCTAATGCGAGGATATCAAATTTAATTTTGCGTAATTAATGTCGCCCAAACTTCCATTCGCAGCCCTTTTCCCTCTGGCCAAACTTGACCAAGGTCCGAAACATGACCAAAAGAAAACTCATTAATATGATTTAGGCCCACAGGATAAACAACAACAGCAGAAGCGGCTCCAAGGCCTAAAACGTTCAAAACAAACCGAAAAACAACAACGAAAAAACGAAAATGATTTTGTATTTATGTTTTTGGTCCCACATCGTGCATGACTGAGCCAAGGAATACGAGAGTTTACGGGAATAAAACCCTTTGCCAAAGTCTGGCAAAACAAAAACACACTGAAGGACGAAAAACTGACGAGCCGAAAAAGAAGACGATAAAGATGGATGGGGATGGGGGAAAATTTCGAAGTGCAAAGCAGAAAACTGAAAAAGTTTGTCACCTACAAGTCGTTAGATTTCAAATATTTTACACACCGAATGCGAAAATACTTAGAGGCAATATTTGTTTATACAAACTAAAGAATATATATTTAAATGTTACAAAATAAATATTTTAGTTCAAAATTATTTCTCTAAACTAATGAATTGATTTATGTAAACAAGTTACATTCTATCCTCTTGTTTTTCGGAGTAAACACAATTTTTATTGCCAATAATATTGATTTCACTTGATTTCATGGCAAAATGTGAATATTTTAAAACATCGAATTCACAAATAATTAACAATTTCCATGTTTACACAACAGGAAATTTTAGTGGGAGTGAAACCAATTGCAAACTAAAAGCAGAGGTTTTTCCATGTTCCCGCCACCTGGTTGCCCCCCATGAAGTTAGGGCAAAGCATCGAAAAGGTTTTAATCAGCACGTGGCATGCATCCTGCGTGTGTCCTGTTGGGTGTGCGGATTGGTTGCTGTTTCGGTGCTTGGCCAGCCATCCGCTTGACTGCGAATATTGCCTGCTCCGGCCAGACTCATACTCGCCTTTCTCAATTTCCCGGCTGCCCGATTGCCCGAGTGCCTGGCTGCCTTGTTTATTTGCATTGGCTGCGGCGATGGATTTATGAGCGAAGCCATTGAACTTTCTCATCGCTATCGCTCACTCCACTTCTGCTGGGCCGCCCATCCTTGGCTATCAGTCCATGCCTCCTCAGATGTGTGGTTGGCACACAAATATGCCAAAGGCACGCACATACCATAGCCTAAGCCACTCGTTTGTGCCAAAACACTCGCCCGCCCACACACGCCCCGTTTGCCACGCCCCCTCACACTTGGTCAAATGCTCCACTCATCCTATGAAACACCCCTTTCGGCCAATTGATCCCCGCCGGCCTCCACCAATTTTGACATTTGCGTTTTGACGCACGCGGCGTATACGCAATTTCTGACTCTGACTCTTTAAGCCCTGTTTTAGCTCACGCTGCCAACCACGTGACCAGAAAATTGTTATCGCTCGCATTCCCCTTTACTTGGCCAAAAGTTTCCAATTCTAAATATAGACAGGGAGATGGTATACGTTCACTTTAAACTACACCACGTTTCATAACTAACTTGTATACGATATTAACTTAATGATGCTTTCCAAAACAAAAGTATGAATTGATAAATAAAAGAAGATAAATATTTGTTAAACATTCTTTCTTATTTAAAAATTCAAATACTTGAGTTAAATCCAATAACTAGCATAAGGTGTTGACAAGAGTGTCACTCGATGACTCATGTAGATGCTAGATAAATGTACAAATATATATTCCATAATATTGATGACAAACATATATTCTTCCTTAGGCTATTGCGATCATATTGCACACTTCACAACTGTCACTCCATTATGAAACGGACCTTATGTACACACAATGGAAGCGTGCGATTTCTCATATTTCATAGCTTGACCTCTCTTCCTTTAGCCAGTTGTATAAATTGTTTGTTCCTGTTCGAGCACTGTTTGCTGTTGCTGTTGCTGCTACTGCTGCTGTTGCTTTTGTATTTATTTTTATGACCCAAAATGTTGGCACGTATGAGCGGAGAACCCAGAGCAAGCTGCCTTCTAATACTATAACCAATATAAATGTCATTTATGTTTCGGACACTTTTTGGTAGCAGCAGTCGGTTGGGTTGAGTAAGAGGTGAAACAGCACGGAGGGCTCTTTGAGTGGGCAAAAAAGAAAAGCACTGGTAGGGTGAAATTCTGTCATGGTCAGCGATACAAAAACCGCAGCGAATCGAGGATTCGGAATGGGGATGGGGAAGGTGGAACAGAATCAACAAATACTCGAAATCCACAACCACCCACGAGGGATATATGCAGGATGCACAGAGTGGCGGCTCCATCCGCGAGTATCTGTATCTCCAAATCCAAGTGTGTTTGTATCCCTGTCTCTACGTGAACACAAACGCTGTGGTGGAGTGTGATAACCATCACATTCCACACACAAGAAAGAAAGATAGCACCACTTAGTGGCACTTAAGGATATGCAGAAGCTGTGAGGACTTCCGCTTACGTTTCGCTCAGGATACTCCAGCGGAGCTAGAGCAAAGCTGACGTTGTCCTGGAGCTGGCCACTTCACCTACTTGCCTTTTGGTCTGGAAAAGTATTTTGGCTCGGCTTTTCTGCATTTAGTGCTCCGGATGTTAATATTTTTATTTCGATTTCCATTAAAAGAGACATAGTAAAACTCCATTTTAAACATAACTACATATATGCATTATTATGGGTCTAATTGTTTGGCATACAATCCTTGTTGTACTTTTTGCTGATCCAAATTTATAAAAAAAGGTATGTCACTTAAAAATCTGATTGAAATCAGAACTGGTAAAATTTGCTCATATCAGCAAAACCATTAAATTGGAAAAAATCGGCCAAATATTATAATAAAAAAATTCTTAACATCCAGTTTGGTATAGAAATAAACTACAAAATATAAGAGGTATGCCACTTCAAAATCTGATTAAAATTATAAATGTTATCGACTTAGAAGTAGTGAAATTTGGTCAATTTTTAGCAAATCTTTTTTTTTTTGAATTTGCAAACACATTTGCAAATCAAGTAGATATGATCATAAACAACGGCGGGATAATTTTTTTGCCGTTATTTTTTCGATCCCTTTTATGGAAGCTATCCGATATAGTCGCCCGATCTGTAAGTAAAAAACGGGTAAAGTTTCAGCAAGATAGCTACATTGAAACGGATTGGTTCGCATCAGATAATAATGCTTATCAGGAATATATAAGGGGTCTAAGGTGTCTCATTCACTGCGATGCAAACTTCTGACTGAAATTTGAATACCCTCTTCGAGGGTATGAAAATTAAATTTACTTTAACAGGAAAGAAGAAAACTCTTTAAGCGTTTTACAAGTGTTAACATCAAACCAAATCAGCATTCTACGTGCCTATTCTCAACCTATTCAGACGCAATATTAATGGACAGGGAAATCGGTGCTCATCCATCTCAACTTTTCCATTTCCAGCTGAGGAGAAGACAGTCTTCCATTTACTCCGTGTGAACTCCTTGACGTGCGGAGAGAGTCGGCACTCCTTTTACCCATCCCCCAAAAAAGCTCATTCCAACTTCCGGTCTCCTGCTGATTCTCCTTCCAAAGTTGGCAATAAAAGCGGAAGGCGTCACTTTCAAAATGGCGTCATGCTGTTTTGAGCTTTGTTTTCCGCCCCCTTTCCCCTTTATATATTTTTATTTATGCTCTTTCCGCGTTGCTCTTATTATTGCATTAGCTGAAGAGCAGTTCAAGGCGGGGAGTCCTTGTTCATTTTGTTATTTGTTGTTCTCCATGTTATTTCATATTATCTTTATATGAATTGCGGTTCCTGGGAGCTCCACTCATTTTTCCGATATTATTATTTTTATTATTATGCATGTCGCGTGTGCTGCCGCAAAGACAGAAAACAATATTTATTTATTTCAACCCTTTTCGCTCTGTTGGTGGCGGTTTCGGGTTGACACTGGCCCCCCTTTAATTCACCATAAATATGGCAGCGATTTCCGTGACAATTCTTAAACTCCCCCCTTTCTCCCAGTTCCTTTTGTAACCTTCGTCAAGAAGTAAAGTTGATTCTCAGGTCACGATTCCAGGCTTCCTTCGCTTAGTAGCTTTGTTCCAATTCCAACTATTAATAAATAAATTTCATTGTCCAAAACGCACACATTTTCCTTGCTCTTTTCACTTATTTATGATTGTTTTGCTTTCTGTCAACTTTCTGATGGCGCATTTGTTGGACTTATCTAGCTTTTGTCGGTCTCTATTTGATTTATTTTCAGTTTCAAATAAACTGAAACATGCAAAATATGGCGCCTTAAATGCCGCACATGTTCCCCCCTCATCCCACTGAAATATTTCAAATGCAAAGTCAGTGGTTTATAAAAGAACATTTTATTCTGTCACCGAGGTGATTTAAAATAATATGATTACGTGGGCTTAAATCAAAACACACAGCGGAGGATTGAATTGTGTGGACAGGAATAATATTTGAAATATTTTTTGATGTGATCATTGCAACGTATAGTAGTAGATTTTAATAAAAGTAAAAATTTATTAGTTTTACTAACGGGTATGCAGACCCAACTGACAACATTTAAATATTTATTCTGAAGAAGTGGAACCAGTTCCATAATTAGCATTTTATATTTTTATAGATTTTAATAAATGATTTAAAATAGAGATATATTATTTTATTTATTTTAGAGCAGTTAAACTCAATTTAGTCGTTTACCAACAGAAGTTCGAAGCGCGCGCAAAAGGAAATTCAAATTTAACAGAGCTGTAAGCCTGCAGCCCTGGTTCGAAAATATGTCGAAACCAACTGCCAGGGACTTCGAAAATTCGTTTTTAACGGATAAAACTACACTGCGCAACATTTTGGGGCTCGAAGGTATCATTATTAAAAACAGTTTGCGATATGCGATATTTTTGTTCCGCTTTAAAATTATTGTATTGCTTATCAAAATGTTAATAACCTTTAGTAGTACATAGTACTTTAAAAATTAATTTTAAAATATTTTGGTAAACTCTAAAAAAGGAGTTTTAATAATATTAATTTGAAATTCTATAACCTATTTTATTGTGAAAGCGGGAGCATATTGAAAGCGGGTTGGTTTACTGTGACACAGAATTGACCAAAACAATGCAAATTGGCAATTACCTCAACTTTCTCGCTCTCCTTGCGTTTCCTGCTCGCACTCCCTCGCTGGCAATTTGCATGGCCAGCAGAGTTTTAGTGTCCACTCAGCTCGTCTGCGTGCGAATGCCGATTGGATTTGCGCATATGCACATATGTATATCAATCGGATCGGATCGGATCGGGCTGAGCACCTATGCTCGATTCCGATTCGATGCCCACCGGCATCGCCGTCGCACTGATCGTGGGCAGGCAGCGCAGGTAGCCGATCCATGCGATCGCGATGCTCGATACTCGATGCCCGACTCTCGGTGCTCGATGGGTTAAAAGGCCCGCTCCGGCCGGCGGGTCGAGTCAGTCTGCCCCTGGCCTGGCCCTTTATCGGGACGGGACGCATTTAACCGTGAGCGTGATCGTGATCGTGAGCGTTGCAGTTGAGCAGGTGCAGGTGGCTACCCCCCGCTGCCACCGTGACGTACAGCGATGAGAGTGAAGAGGGAGCGGCCGGGCCCGCTGCGCTGGCTGCGCCACCTGCTCGACCAGCTCCTGGTGCGAGTCCTCAGCCTGAGCCTCTTCCGCGCGCGGTGCCAGCCCGAAGATCCTCCTGCGGACAGCTTTCCCGAGCCGGAAATAACAGACGTTGCAAAATACGTGCCCATTCCAAGGGTTAAGGGGTTGCCGATGGTCGGGACCCTACTGGATCTAATTGCCGCCGGTGGAGCCACTCAGTAAATCCATTAGCCTAAAACTCCGAAATAAAAAACGAGCACCTTTTAAACCTTGAAAAATAACTTCAATAAAACTGTTCCAGTTTTGCGCGCCGAAAAACACTAACCAATACAACATAAAAAATAAGCCTGTTCCTCAAGAAAAAAATATTATAACACGCAAGTTAAAAAAAGTGATTACATTTTAACTTATTACTTAAAAAAAAAAAGTGCTGTTAAATCTACTTAATTGTGCCTGTGTATGTGGAAATCAATAATCGAGTGCAAAAACAGAACCTTGAGACCTTAAAATTTTTGAAAAATTAACAACCATTAATCCAGTGCCAATTTATACAAAATATTACAAAGATAACATTTTAAATTAATGATTATAAAACTTCATTGAAAATAATCCCGTTTACAATGAACAATATTGTTTTTTGAGTGATTCTTAAAATCATTTTCATAAGCGTTATCAATTAAACCATTCACAAATTAATATTATATTAAAAATACTTTTAAGGACTCTTTCTCAAATAATAAGATTCATTGAAATACATATCAGATGATCCCTATTTTAATGTAGTTCTCTTTGCCATAATTAGCCTTCATAAATATGTTGATGCCCGGCACCGGCAGTATGGACCGATCTTCCGGGAGCGGTTAGGTGGCACTCAGGATGCAGTGTTCGTATCGTCAGCGAATCTGATGCGCGGAGTCTTCCAGCACGAGGGTCAGTATCCCCAGCATCCGCTACCGGATGCCTGGACGCTGTATAACCAACAGCATGCCTGCCAACGTGGTCTGTTCTTCATGTAAGTGGGGTGGACGAAATGAGTCCGATGAATTGCAAATGAGGAGTCTTCTAAACCGATCTCTATGCCGTTCCTCGACGGGAGCAGGGAGGGCGCCGAGTGGCTGCACAACCGACGCATACTTAATCGCCTGCTGCTCAACGGAAATTTGAATTGGATGGACGTGCATATTGAGAGCTGTACCAGACGGATGGTGGAGAAGTGGAGAAAACAAACGGCAGAGGTAGCTGCTGTTCCGGCAGAGGAGGGTGGCGAGACCCGGAGCTACGAGCTGCCCCTGCTGGAGCAACAGCTATACCGTTGGTCCATAGAAGGTGAGAACGTCATAGACTAAAATAAATTCATTCTCCCGTTTTTCAACGAAAATTTCCTCAGCAATCTTAATTAAATTTGAACGGTGTTTTGCATTGCATAACTCTTTTCTTGTACTATAGCTTCGATCTAATAATTCCCTTTTCGTACATACCCTTTTTTTCTGCAGTCCTCTGCTGCATCATGTTCGGCAGCAGCATCCTCACCTGCCCCAAGATCCAGGCCGCCCTGGACTACTTCACACAGATTGTGCACAAGGTTTTCGAGCATAGCTCGCGGCTGATGACATTCCCGCCCAGATTGGCCCAGATGTTGCGCCTGCGCGTCTGGAGCGAATTCGAGGCGAATGTGGATGAGGTGCTGCGCGAGGGAGCTGGCATCATCGACTACTGCATTGGAGTGCAAGAGGAGCTTAGACATCCTCATGACGAGGCGCTTTACCATCGTCTGCAGGCGGCGGAGGTTCCAGCCGAGATGATCAAGCGGATATTTGTCGACTTGGTCATAGCAGCAGGTGACACGGTGGGCAGAGGAGTGATATTTATGGAAGAAACCACTTAATAACTCCCTTTACATTTCATTCAGACCGCCTTCAGCAGCCAATGGGCTTTGTTTGCCCTTTCCAAGGAGCCGCGACTGCAGAAGCGCCTGGCGAAGGAACGAGCCACTAATGATTCTCGCCTGCTTCATGGCTTGATCAAGGAATCCCTGCGTCTTTACCCTGTGGCTCCCTTCATCGGTCGCTACCTGCCTCAGGATGCGCAATTGGGAGGTCACTTTATCGAAAAAGATGTGGGTAAAAGAAATTCATCGAAGAGCTAGAGCTCATACCTTGCCCTTATTTCTTTCAGACGATGGTGCTGCTCTCCCTGTACACGGCAGGTCGCGATCCATCACACTTCGAGCAGCCGGAGCGAGTGCTGCCGGAGCGTTGGTGCATCGGCCAGTCGGAGCAGGTGCATCAGTCGCACGGCAGCCTGCCCTTCGCCATCGGCCAGCGGTCTTGCATCGGCCGCCGTGTGGCACTCAAGCAGCTCCACTCCCTGCTTGGCCGCTGCGCTTCCCAGTTCGAGATGAGCTGCCTCAACGAGAGGCCCGTCGACAGCGTACTCCGCATGGTCACCGTGCCCGACCAGATCTTGCGGTTGGCCCTCCGGCCGAGAACCGAGTGATACAGTCATACACGCATTAACATAATCATAATACTAACAGTAATGGTAATCATAATCGTAGTTTCTTTAGTTTTATACAAATATATAAATTTCACACCTTTAGTAATCTATCTAGTAAAAAACTTCAAATTAAGAAAACAGCGCCTGCAGCAAAGTGTAGACTAACAGTATGGTGCCTAGAATTATAAGTCCTATGGTAGGGGCACCCCACAATAGCTGTCCAAATATCATGGCACATGTCATTGTAATGAGAACGGGAATAGAGCCCAGGGATCGAAGGCAAACTCGCGGAGGCACCGGGTTCTCACATATTTCCACTTGTCCAGTGCTTTTGTCAAACCACTGCTCCGTCATGGGAGCATAGAGCACTTGCCTCGCAACCTTTCCACAATAATCTTCGCGGGCATAGAAAGCTTGGATCTGGCCGCCATACTGGAATAAAACAGATACTATAAGATAATGTCTTAGATAAACTTAATAAACCTTACCTTGTTGTTAATCTTGTCAGAGATAAAGTGCAGTATCCTCACGAGCGGCTTGATTTCATTTGTCTGGATAGGCAAAGTTGCGGGATCAACAGTGGCATGCATATTGGAGGCATTAAGAGACATTTGGTGCGGATTTAGCTTGGAGGTGTCCAAGGAGTTGCTCGAGTCAAAAAAGCTAAAATTTGGCATCGTTTTGGAGGCAGGCGGACAAGGTTCCTCTGGCAGGTTCTCATGCATGGACAGGTTGGCTTGATCCACCTGGTCAAATATGCAAATATTTTATATTATGTTCAATTTTGGAATTTAACTAACAAACTTACATTAAACGTTTTGCAGAAAGCATCGATACATTGCCGCAGGACCTCCGGAATGCGACTGAATTCACGAAGGGTTATTTCATCCTGGGTGCAATCGCCAAAGATCTTGTTAAAGAAGTTCTTTAGGAATCCCTCAGAACGCTGCTTTTCTGCAATATCATTTCTTAACGAAGCAATGTCTCTGAGCACTGAATTTCGGGCCATGCTGATCAGGAACAGAAAGCTCTCCATCTGCATTTGCATGGGGTGACTGAATAACTTTGTCGAGTTTGTGTTGACTACGTGATTCCATTGAGAGCCCGGTGAAAAGGATTTGCTATAGAAGAAATAATATGAACATTTAAAATATAGATATCTACTTGACTTTGTTATGTTCAACCCACTTCATCATGTTGACCTGTCGCTGCGGGGAGTCAAAGCCATAGGCATTGCCTGCATGTAGACGCTCGAACCGTTGCAATCGCTCTACAAGATCATGCTGAGCAAAAATAGTAGCCAGTCGATACAACATGAAGGCATTACGATAGACAGTATAATCCAGGCGCCCAAAGTGCGGCAGCAGCTGCATGAATATGTGCGTGTACATAATCAGATTGTCGATGATAAAGCCATCGAAGCTGGACGAAATAGGAGGCCTATAGGCAAGGCTGGACCTGAAGTTAAGAATATAGGTTAATAGCAAAATATTTTTATAATAGTTTTAAAAGTTTATACGTACGACTTGTTGTTCAGCGCTGCCATAGTGTACCTCCACGGTTGGATGTAACTAAGCCAAAGCTCCAGAACCACCATCAGGGAGCTGTCAAGGGGCCAACGATCGATCAAACCGCAAAGAAATGCGTAGATCCTCGCCTTTACCATGCTTAAAGAGACTTTACGCAGCGCACACAGTGAACTATGATCATGCTGGGCACCATTGGCAAAGAAGTGAACCTGCTTGACCAACGTCCTTACGCCGCGCACAAAATCGCTGCTTGGCAAATGGTGTTCTGACTCGATGTCATAGCGCAACCAGATGTCCACGAAGAAGTGCAGTACAGTCTCGGAGCGCCAAGCGTAAGCCCTGTTTGCACTGGCATTTTGACTGCTGGACTGTGGTGAGGCGTTACCGCCGCCACCACTGGCATTTGGACTACCTCCTCCGCCCGAAACGTTCCCTCCGTTGCGAAAGGAGCTGGGGATCTTGATGTATCGCGGCTGTCTTTGTGGCTGCAATGCCTGTGCGGGCAGCGGCTGTGGAGCCTTCACCCCGCCACTAAAATGTACAGGTTCTATCCGGGCATCGGGAATTAGGGGCAGGAAGTTATTAAGGTACTCCGAAACCAACTTAAGGTAGATCGTTTTGCTGCGCACGTTATGAATTTGCATGGCGATGGGATTGATGGAGTGGAGCGGTTGCAGTGCATACAGCACAAAGTGGATCACGTAGAAATCGAAAGCATTTAGCGAGAGTGTCGCCACCTGGTGCCTCAATGGATCGATATTGATGAGCTCCGCATAGAAACGGGGGTTCTGACCAGACTGCAGCATGCTCACAAACTTGGCCTGAAAAAAGGAGTTTTATGGATGGGAAATGATAAGCATATGTACACTACTCACCGGCAGGAGGTTGACGTCCAACTCGAATTTGCATTGGTCTAAGAGGAGGCGGTGGCACAAATGCATCCATGGACCACAAACGCCAAAGAACTGATGCAGAGTCTGAAATTGCATTGGACTGTTCTCCAACGTCGTCGTCCGCAGGCCCCAGCCCAAAGGATTCCCATTTATTCCAAATATGGAGTGCACAATGTGAGGAAATATATCCTGGATTTGACGAAGGGAGCAGCGGTCGAACAGAATGCTCAGCTCGTGCAGACGATCCAGCAGAGGCAAACTGAGCACCGTCAACAGGCGGCTCTGAAATGTGCTGTCGGTTTAGTCGCAAAATTTGTTAGAATTAAATTTGCTTCTTACGCTAAGGTTTTCTGGCGGCATTGTTTGCGACATAGTGATTTTGTAGGTCTAGCAGTTGTATAAAATAACGAATAAATAACACTTTAATTCCCTAAAAACTGCAGCCGGCGTGCTGTAAACAAAAACCTTTGGTGGCGTTGCCGGACCCGTCGAACCCCGTGCCGCGCCAAATGAGCTGCCACTTCGCCAAAGAATATGATTAGGGGTACCCACTGGCTAAGCATATATATATAAACGATTTACTTTCATAATTTTAAAGTTCTATGCACCATTTGGTCTATTTAAAATATATTAAAGTATTAAATTCAGTGAAACAAGTTTTTCTGTGGATAGTAAAATTAGTTTGCACTGCTAATGGAATATTTAGCGGTTCTAGCTACGGTCATACTTTCGACCGGCGTTTGTTTTGCTGTAGAGTTTTGTGTTTATTATATATTTTTGCAATTTTGAAAGCATAATATGAAGCGTAGAAGTCAAACGCAGGCTCAGAATGCCGCACCGCCTAATAAAAATATGAAGGAAAAAGCTGGAGCCCTCACAGTGGCTCAGTTAAGCTCCGATGTTGTTTGGCAGGTGGGTGCTCCGCTGGTAAAAACTTTTTAATGCAGATTATAATTTACAAATTAATCCACAGCTGGCATCGCAGTATTGGACGCCGGAGACGAAAGCGGACCATAAGCCATATAGCGCTAAAATCATCGAGCGCATCTACAATGAGGAAATCGCCGGAGGCGGTGTCAACAGCGCACGGCGCATCAATATGCTAGAGTTCAGTCAGTACTTGGAGCAATACTTGTGGCCACACTATCAGCGGGACACCGCCACTCATGCCCACCTCATGTCCATCGTGATAATGGCTAACGAGAAGTTCAGGGAACGCGTCGAGGTGTGGACCGTGTTTGAGAAACTCCCGGATCAGTATCCAGCCTTCTTCCGCCACGTGCTGGAGAGCTGTTTGCCCGCGAAGAAAGCCAAGGAGGCCAGCAGCACGCTGAGGGAGCGAACCGCTCTTTTGATGTTCATTAATCATTGCTTCAACAGTATGGAGATCGAGCTCTGCCGCGAACAGGCCAAGCGCCTGGTTTCCCTTTCCATGTGGCACTGCCTGCAGCCACGTAGGTCTCTTTAAGTCCTTTTAAATCCTTTGAAGCTAACCAACATTCATTTTTTAAGGCCGCCGCGAGCAGGAGCTTCGAGAGGTGCCCGAGTGGCGAAAGTACTGGAAACGTCTGCTTAAAAAGGAAAAGGACAGCAAGCCAGAGGTCCTTTGGGAAAGACACTTCATGCAGAATCTTATTATCGACTTTCTGCACATACTAGAAAAAATTCCAGCCGAGGGCGAGGTAGCTTCCAATGTGGTCCACTACTGCGAGCGCTTCCTGGAATTCATCATTGACCTGGAGGCTCTGCTGCCGACAAGAAGATTCTTCAACACAGTTCTGGACGACTGTCACCTTATTGTGCGTGCTCTTTTGTCACCTCTGGTTCGTCGCGAGGAGGGTAAACTGTTTGGCCAGGTAGGTGTCAGACTTCTCTTTTAATTACTATCTCGTACAGCATAAATTAGTTAAGTTTAAGTACAAATCTCAATGTTGGACATTGCTAAACTACGAAAACACTTAAATTAGTGTGGACGGTGGCTTCTCAGTAGTCGTTGCCGTTCATGTAGTGCAATTCATCGCCCCAGTCGTTTGCGGAGGGTGGCTCGTTGTAGCAACAGCTCTTTTTCAGCAGAAAGGTCACATGTCGCTGGCGCAGCACGCAGATGTAGAGCAGCAGCGGTGACTGCAAGGCATTAACTACGATATGGGCATACAGCAGTCCTTCCAGCTGCAGCCAGGACATGATGAGAAACAGCCAGGCTATTGACATAACCAACAGCATCAGTGAGAACATGATGAAGCTGTAAAAGAAAGATTATTTAGTAACTAAAAGAATTTTATAAATTTGTCATTCATGAATCATGATCAGTGAATGATTGACTCACTTGGCTTTTAGCTTGTGCGCAATTCGACCATAAACCGTCCGCCGATTGATCAGCTTTCTTGTGGTCACATAGAAAAATATGTTCACCAAAATGGTGCATGCAATTGGTGCAAAGAATATGCAAATGCCAAGCATGCCGATCGTCTCCTGCTCGCCTACCATCTGCTCTCGTTTGTAGGACTCTGCATCCAGGAAGAAATGTGCAAATACAGCCATTGCAGCCATTGTAGCTGTGCATCCCCACGCGTATGCTGAGTAGTAGCAGTACTTCCTGCCATCCGTAACTCGCAGGAAAACGTTCCTTGAACGAAAAGTCTTCCAGATGTAAAAGCCGAAACTATTCAGCCAGAAGAAGGCTGCGAGCAGACTGAAGCACATGATGATGTCCGCCACAATAAAGCTAACATGACTAGTCAGCTCTGTAAAGATTCGCACCAAATCTGCAGCCTGGCTGACCATCAGGCACATGGCTATTGTTGTAACAATATTGCCAACTAAATCTCTGCTAAATGGACACAAAATTAAGGCATGAAGAAAGTCGGACTAAACATTACTGCTCACCTGAGTGTAGGAAGTATAAAGTAGATAATGGCGATGACCAGGAGAATGATTAGTGAGATTCCATGGAATATGGGGTTTAGGATTTTGCGCAGCAAGAAGTTGGAGTCACTCCACTTGATTTCTTTGCGCGCCAAGCAAATCTTTGCATAAAGAGCATGCTTTTCTCCTGTGCTGGAGGTGGCCTGAAGTAGGATTGTAAAATTATATATTTTTAACTACGTTAAGTTATGATTAATCCTACCCTATCGATGCAGTACAATCCCTTGTCATAATCGTGGTATCGTGGCTCATGACTTTCGGGAAGGTCTTCCTCATAATCTGTTTGTATTCCATGACGCTCCTCTTGCTCATCCTCGGCATTAGTGTAATGCCTTAGAACACCATTTTCCAGTAGCACTAGCTTATCAGAGCTCTAAAAGTAGCAAATATCTATAAGCTTCTGTAGAACCTGTACAATAGACGTGAGACTCACCCCATCGTAATGGTATATGGGCCACATCTGCATTGATCCGCAGTTGGGAATGCCAATGACGAATTTATAGTCAACTTGTCTATTCTGTTCCCCTTCATAGCTGGTGAACATCGGCTGAAAGTAGTCTGCAAATGGAAACCAATGATAAATAGAGAACACAGAACGTGGAGAACCATTAAGACTCTTCAAGTTCTTGCCGCCTTTGTTGGTCTTCTGGATCGGAGGGGAGCCATAATTTCCTTTCCCATTCTTCTCCTCTATAAATATTTACGCTCCAAGGCAAAGAACGTGAGCACTGCAATACATGTTCATCAGCTGTTTTCCAAGTTTTTGCCATTTGTGCGGATTTGTTCTCCTCCAATTACCGCAGCTGGGATGCACATTTGTTCCATTGATATGCTAATCCTACCTAAACTTGCGGACATTCGGTTCTTTTAATGCAAGTGTTGATTATGTGCTGTGCTTTTTTGTTTAGAATTACTCAAATGCCTTTGATTACAAATCTGATGAGATCAGTTCGCTGCCTTCCGGCAATGATTCAGCTATTCTATATTGTAACATTTTTATGTGTCACCTTAATGGCAAATCCAAGGTCGTAACTATTGATCATTCCTGTATGGTATTGCTAGAATTTTGATTTAGTTACTATGACGCCTTTTGTTACAATCATTCCCCGCAATTTTTTGGTTGCTTGTCAAACATTAATCTGGTATAGTAGATATAGGCTGTTCTAAATTAGCAAAGCATTCGTATAAAATATCTTGTTGAGAAACTTTTCGGCATCTTTTTAGAACTGAGATCATTTAACATGTCAAAAGAAAAGTATTTAGCCATTAGTTCCGTCTAAATATTTATGGAAAGGAATCAAAATGACTTTTACATCAATCTAAGAAAAACAAAAGCATCCATAGTACCTTGCTAATGGATTTTCCGGCTCATTTCCTTTCTGAAATGATGATATTCCCGATTGAGGAGTCCCCCATCAAGTGGCTGCCTTAAAGTTTAAACAGAAGCATACCCCACGGCATAAATCATAATTCTCAACAGGATTGGGGCCACTCTCTGTTTGTGTTAAGAACTTGCTTGGGGGAGAGGGTGAGAGGGAGGAGGTTGGGGTTTTGTAGCTGCTGGCTGCGTTCCACTGATCCACTGATAGCCAACAAATGGGCCATTTAATGTTGGGCGTACATATGTTGCATGCCAGGAGGGTAAATCCATAAAGTTGAATGCCCAACCGAATGCGCTGTGGTTGTTATGGTAACTTTTCCAAAAGGGGTCAGGAGTTTTCCGCCTGACCAGCTGTTGGACTCACCCGTTTCGTTGACCTGCTGGCACTCGTTGTCCACGTGTATCTCGAATTTTTCGCAGCATTTGTTGACCAACACCAAGTTGGGATCGGTGGATGGAGATGCCCCACTAGTTACATGACTGGTTACCGGTAGAGGTTGCGAAGTAAGGAGTAATACTGGAAGCAACCGAATCAGCAGAGCGGAGCAGCTGCTTTTTTTTGCATATTGCCCGTCTGCAAAATGCGCGCCAAGCGTTTTTACGAGCATCTTTTGCTCAGCGGTAGCAGAGATACACAGATACAGATACAACTACACTGGTAAGCGACCGTTTTCGTTGTTGTTTATGTGGATCTGGGCTTGTTAAGAAATGCGTCATCAAGTTGCCGGCTGTGAGCCAAGATCATGACTTGCATGCCAGAAACAGGGTAAGACGACACTTTTCTGTATAAAAACACACCCACAAAGTCACTAAAGCCGGGGACGGGAATCAGGCTAACATTCAGTTAATAAACAACACGCGCTTTATTTCCTCTAAACAATATATATATATTGGTATTCAAATAGAAATGAAAATTCAAGAAGAACCATCAACCGATTCCAAGCGACGACAAAAAGCGAATGACTCTCTGTCGCTCGCTCTTTACTTCTAGTCACTAAGTCGGCGAGCGTGTGGAGAGTTTCGAGAGTATCGCTCAACCCCCATCAAAGCGCTCCCTCTCGCACTGAAAACAGGAAAAACGACATGGAGTATACCTCGATTGTTAAATACCCTCTAATCGCCGTTATTGCACTGCACTGCACCACAGTAAACTCATAAAGGGATTTAGTTCCTAATTAAACAAGCTTTTTGTTTCTTAATTTTATTTTGGAAAGATCAAGAAATCTTGGTGGTTCTTTTCAGGATCAAAAAATCTCACTCAATGTTACAAGTCACACACGAACCTTATTTACCTTTTGCTCACCTAGGGTATGCAGAGTTGAAGCAGGGCTTTGAATGCACTTCTCCCTCTTTCTTTCCCTCGGGTTTCCTCTTCCTACTCTCTCTTGTTTCAATTGAGCGACGGAAATTATCAATTGGAGCAAGTAGTCGGTACAAGTAAAGCAGGAACCGGCACTGTCTACATGTATGAGTATGCGAGGGCTTTGTTTGCTCCTCTAGTATCCCCCTCTCTTTCTCTCCGCCAGGATGTGGCTAGATGTTGCAGGGTGATAAGATGCAGATGTGTGCCTTCCCCTAATGACGCGTGCCATGTCATCACACTTGTCCCCTCGCACCTCCACAAACACTTGAAACAAGAAAGCAACAAGGAGGAAATCTTCTGTAAAAATTTCCTTTTAGATTAAAGTAAGCCAGAAATACCCTTCAGTTAACCTTCACCACAGATTTGTATTGAACACACACGCATATATTGGGTTTCAGGGAATGTCCCTCCTTCTCCCGTAAGGACTTCCGCTTGCCGCTCACCTGGCTCGCCTAATTAGCACTCTCTCTCGCACACAAAGCTATGTATCTTTAGTTTGTGTGAGTGGTCTTGCCCAAACTGATGACGTATCAACCTTTTTGGGGCAGACCAACCGGCTTGGCTTATATTGTTCGTCTGGCCTTAAATACCTGTAGTGCAGCTGAAATTAAGAGAGGCAAAGAGAGTTTGCGTGAGTTTGTAGAATTCACGAGGCAGGTAGTAAAACAACAGAATACGTTCCATTCAATGCACGCGTTTGGGGAAGCGGACAGGAGCGGATCAGGGGGTTTGAAATGATCCCACTATATGAGTACTTCTGCCAGTACATAATATTTCCAATAATAACTTGAAAAAGTTTTGTCCGTCACTATTCTTGATTTTTAAATGCAAATATTATATTTTTTTTATGTGTAATCATCCTTCTTGACGAATTGCAATTATTCTTTACCTAAAGCTCCTGGATATGCTAAAGTTTTACACCCGCTTCGAGATCAACGACGTCACTGGCAGCTCGCTCACGGATCACGATATGACCCAGCTCCACTACAAGAAGATCACCTCTCTGCAGCGGGCTGTGTTCGCCAAGTTCCCTAGCCTTCGGGTATTTGCTTTGTCCAATGTGGCCACAGTGGACAATCGGGAGTCACTGGAGCAGCACTTCGGTGGATTGGATGGAAAGGGACTTCTGCAGATCGCCACGTTCCTGAATCTGGTTCCCGAGGAGGTGGTGGCACCTTTGGACTGGCATCGTGTGGATGAGCAGTTTCTACGCGAGCTGCTGATTACGCGCCACGAAAAACGCTGCTCGCAACTAGAAGCACTTAATGAGATGCCCCTGTATCCCACGGAGCAGATTATCTGGGATGAAAATATAGTGCCCTCGCAATATTATACCGGAGATAGCTGTCTGGCACTGCCCAAACTTAATCTACAGTTCCTGACCCTCCACGATTACCTACTGCGCAACTTTAACCTCTTCCGTTTGGAATCTACTTATGAGATTCGGCAGGATATCGAGGATGCCGTAAGCCGTATGTTGCCCTGGCAGTCGGAAGATGGAGATGTTGTTTTTGGAGGATGGGCAAGAATGGCACTGCCCATAGCCAGTTTTGCGGTGGTCGAGGTAGCAAAGCCGCATCTTGGCGAAAAGAAACCTTCTAGGGTACGCGCGGATGTGGGAGTAACGCTTTCCGTTCGGCGGGAAATCAAGGCCGAATGGGAGAACCTTCGAAAGCACGACGTCTGCTTCCTAATAACCGTAAAGCCAACGCAGCCTTACGGCACGAGGTATAATCACCGGGAGCCATTCATTCCGCAGGTCGGTTTGGTCAGTGTCCGTGGCTGCGAGGTGGAGGGCATGCTGGATGCCAACGGGCGTGTCATAGAAGATGGACCGGAACCAAGGCCGCAGCTGCCAGGTGAACAGCGTTGCTATCGCGTGTGGCTGGACTCGAATCAGTACCGCCTGGATATGGACGATCTACAGGAGGTAAGCATTGGAAAGCAATGTGACTTGCAATATCTTATTTATTACCTTCAAAACTTAGGGTGCCGATGATGTCTACGAGAGCTTCAACATCCTGATGCGTCGCAAGCCCAAGGAAAATAACTTTAAGGCCGTTCTAGAGACCATTCGCCATTTAATGAACACAGAATGTGTGGTTCCGCCTTGGCTGCACGACATCCTCCTGGGTTATGGAGATCCTGGAGCCGCTCACTATAGTAACATGCCCAATCAGGAACGCAGTCTTGAGTTTAACGATACCTTCTTGGACTACAAACATTTGGAGGCCAGTTTTCCTAACTACGAATTGAAATGTGACGTTCCAGAAGAAAAGCGACTGCCGCCCTATCGGTTAATTTTTGAGGATGTACGCATTCATAAGGATAGCGATGACGAGGAGAATGAAGAGAAACAGGAGACGGAATTACCCAAGTCCATTGTTGTTCAGCCCTATAAATACGAGGAAAGGGGACCATATCCCAGCGATAAACCTAAGCAGTGAGTAATTGAAACCGACATTTAATATTCTGTTTCTGACCATTCCATTCCAGAAACTCCATTCGCTTTACACCCACACAAGTGGAAGCCATTCGAGCGGGCATGCAGCCAGGATTGACTCTGGTGGTGGGTCCTCCTGGAACCGGTAAAACCGACGTAGCCGTGCAAATCATATCGAATATTTACCACAACCACCCCAATCAACGCACCCTGATTGTGACACACTCCAATCAGGCGCTGAACCAGTTGTTTGAAAAGATAATGGCCTTGGACATCGATGAGCGGCATCTGTTGCGTCTCGGTCACGGCGAGGAGGCCCTGGAGACTGAGAAGGACTACAGTCGCTATGGACGAGTCAACTATGTACTGGCCAAGCGCATGGACCTGCTAAGCCAAGTGCAGCGTCTGCAGGAGGCTCTCGGCGTGAGTGGGGACAATGCTTACACCTGTGAGACAGCCGGCTACTTCTATCTTTACAACGTGATGGCGCGGTGGGAGAAGTTCCAGAGCCAGATGAGCGTGCACAGGGAGGAATCGGATACGGAGAAGCTAAGATCCGTTTTTGAGAAGGAGTTTCCTTTTGCCAAATTCTTTGCGGATGCTCCGCAACCTTTGTTTAAGGGCGCAAACTATGAGGAGCTAATGGACACAGCCTCCTCCAACTTCCGATACATATCGGATATATTTACCGAATTGGAGGAGTTCCGCGCCTTCGAACTTCTGCGGACGGGCTTAGATCGGTCGAAATATCTGCTCGTTAAGGAGGCCAAGATCATTGCCATGACATGTACGCATGCGGCACTAAAGCGTAAAGAACTGGTTAACCTCGGCTTCCGATATGACAACATCCTTATGGAAGAATCGGCCCAGATCCTGGAGATCGAAACGTTTATTCCCCTGCTTCTGCAGAACCCGCTGGATGGACTGAATCGTTTGAAACGTTGGATTATGATTGGAGATCATCACCAGCTGCCGCCTGTGATCAAGAACATGGCATTCCAGAAGTACTCCAATATGGAGCAGAGCCTTTTCACCAGACTGGTGCGCCTGGGAGTACCAACCGTAGATCTGGATGGACAGGGTCGTGCCCGGGCCAGCATCTGTTCGCTGTACAAGTGGCGGTACAAGAAGCTGGAAGACTTGCAGCACATCTTTGAACGGGATGAGTACAAAAAGGCAAATGCAGGCTTTGCCCACGATTATCAGCTCATCAACGTGGAGGATTTCAAGGGAGTGGGCGAAAGCGAGCCCAATCCCTACTTTTATCAGGTGAGCAGCAACTTCTAACTACTTAAAACTCAATCTAATAAATTTTTTTACCCACAGAACCTTGGGGAGGCGGAGTACATTGTTGCAGTATACATGTACATGCGTCTGCTGGGTTATCCCGCGGAGAAGATCTCTATATTAACCACTTACAACGGTCAAAAGCATCTCATCCGCGACGTTATTAACGCCCGATGTGGCAACAATCCGCTTATCGGTTGGCCGCACAAGATCACTACCGTGGATAAGTACCAGGGTCAGCAGAACGACTACATTCTCATCTCCTTGGTGCGCACCAAGGCGGTGGGACATCTGCGGGATGTGCGGCGTCTAGTAGTGGCGATGAGTCGTGCTCGTCTTGGTCTATATGTGTTTGGCAGGGTTTCCCTCTTCAAGAACTGTTTGGAGCTTCAGCAAACTTTTAAGTTGGTAAGAAACATCAAGGAAATTTTAAGATTTCTGTTTTCTATAATTCAGTTTTCTTGCAGCTCACACAGCGACCTCTTAAGTTGAGCTTAGTACCCGAAGACAGCTACCCAACAGATCGTTTTGCAAGTGCAAGTGTAGACAATAAAGATATCAAAACGATCGAAAACATGTCCGAAATGGCACAGTTTGTCTATGAGCGTTATATGGCCAAAATGGAGGAGCTTAAGGGCACTCTACCCTCAGAGGAAGAGTTGCAGGCCATGCGCAACCAACTGCCACAGGAAGACGATGATGTCGTCCCAGAGGAAACTTCTGAGGAGCCTCCTGAAAAACGACAAGCGAAGGAAGCTCCCGTGTCAAAGCAGAAGACTACAGAAGCCTTCAAGCCCACACCGATTCTCAACGAAATAAATGTGGACGAGTCGGAAATGGATCAAAGGGAACAAGTTGAAAAGGAAGCTACGGAAGAACAAACGCAGGAATCCACACCTACTGAGGAAACATAGTTCCTGTTAATTTGCTCAAATAATTTAATTTCAATAAGTTCCAACAAAGTTTAAGTGACAAATGCAAAACACATAGACCATACACCATAAATTTTCATCTACTTTTTGGGTGCGGTTATGCCCTCTAGCTGAGCCTTCAGCTGGGCGTTGGTCTTCTTCAGGAAAGTGATTTCCTCGGTGAACTTCTTCTCCTCGGAGGCTCGCAACTCGGCATTGCGCCGCTCGGCTTGCTCCTGTTTCAGTTTCATGTCGGCGATAATCTCCTCGAGCGCCTCTTTATCCTGTTCAAGAGTCTTGACCCGATCACGAAGCATCTCCTTTTCCTCGTGCGCCTGCAAGGCTTTGCGCATTCCGAAAGCCACGGAGCTGCAATAAAGTGTCTCGTAGGCCTCCATAGACATGGCGATCTCATCGCGGATGCGCAGCAGTAGCAGGCCGCGCTCGGAACAGTTTATGGTCACCTGACGAATAATCTCATCTGCAGGGCGAATGTTAACTAAATTTGGAAACAGGGAAATGATAGATAGTTCTTACCAAAACACTGTGAGTAAAGCTCACGGCGGACTGGACAGATGCCCGTTTCGCGGGCTTGAGTTTGCTGCAGCCTCGTGTCGAGCATCTCCTGTAAATTAATCACATCCTGGCGTGTGGCCGGAGTGCTGGACACAGACTGCTGCCACAGCTGGCTATCCTCTTCCCAGCAACGTGGGGGCAGTATAGAATTTAATATCTCCTCGGTCTCTCGTTTCGTATCTAGTAAAGCGCCCGCCGTTTGCGGCCTTTTCATCTCAATCTCCGTTAGCGGAGCTCCTCCCTTTTTGTCCGGGTGCTTGACCACCAGCACCGGATTATTGTACCGCACCAGGGTCTGGAACTGACCCACGCTGGTTATGTCTAGCTCATCCATTTTGCCGGCGGTAGTTATTTATTTTAATTTAAACAGGAAAAAAAATATATATATTCTAAAACTTGTGTGTGCTTCGGGAATTCGAGTAGTTCGTTCAACGATTTTGTTGATTGGAAAATCTGAAATGCCTGTGCTGGGAAAACTCCTGGGGGTGTGAGTTTGTTATTTTCCATGCGCCGGCTAGCAACGCTCGAAACTGGGCAACCACCGAAATGTATTTTTTTTTTGTGGCACACATGGTAGCAAATATCAACAGGTGAAAGGTAACACCATGTAAGTAAATTTTTCTTTTTTACTGTGTCCTGAGAATTGATAATTAAATTGTGTTTGGTTGATTGATCGTTAGCACAAACAGTGCGAGTCCATGATTTTCCAGCGAAAAAGGTTCTCCAATCGTAAACAAATATAAACTCTGAATTACTTATTTGTATAATATGTTTAATGTAAATGCAAACATAAATGAGTTTCTGGCTCTGTCCGTGAGGAATCGAACAGCGGTCAAAAGTAACTTAGTTCGTTGCACATTTCCAATTCTCTCCAACTTAAAATACGTACTTATGAGTATGAGCAAGTTTGGCTAATTAAACTAGGGTCTAAAGAACTAATTGTTAGCGACACAACTAAACGTAGAACGGAATTGGAAGAGCAAATAATTTAGTCTTTTTAGTGGTACAACTTAGGCTGTAGACGCATTTGATCGCCATTAAAACTAATATCGCGGAAGTATTCGAGAGGATTGAATTGTGTAGATGCAGATGTAGATGTACATTAGTAACTCTTACATATTCATATCGTTTCATTACGGCTAGACATTGTCAATATATAATAGTACATATATATTATTGTCATTATTTATGCGGGAGAATTTCCTCTATGGGTTCTTGTAGTTCTGTCTTTGCTCCTGGCTCTCTATCCTGTTTACTTGAGTTCTAGATAAACGCTGGCTTACCAGATCCAACTACGCTATGTATATACGCTCTCGCTATAGGTATTTGTATGTGCTATGTACGTGTTTTAAATATTGTTGGTATGAACGCAACGGCGAACTCAAAGATGCAACAGAACGGATTCGGTTTAACTAAACCACGGCAAGGGCTTGTCTACTACACAGATACACAGCTACTACATAATTTACACATCTTGTTGGGCAGCAGATCCCATTGTAGCTTAAATTAGCTCGGCCACGGCATCGTCTCCGTCCCGAATGGGTGCCTGGAAAGTGGATCCTGTGAACTCGTACAGCTGTAAGGAACCAAAACAAGGTTAATTGTATCCTTCAGTTGCTTTTTCTTAGATCTTACCGATGGCGCCCTATTGTTTCTTAGCGTGGCATAGTCCGCAAACTCAGTCATGTGCGGATCCACGCGTGCCAGCAGAAGGCCAGCACCACCTACTCCTCCCGCACTGGCGCCACCACCGCTGCGCACAGATCCACCTCCACCGGCACCACCGCCTCCAGTAAAACGATTCTGATTATTACGCGGTTGGATGGTCGCATAGGTGTTATCCACCGTCTGTCCCACGTGATGGACTTGCTCCAGTGAGCTGCGATGGTCAAGGTGGCCTGGCGCCTCAGAGTTGGAAATATGATCGGGCTCCGAGAAAACCTGCATTGTCAGCTCTTGCTCCTCATACAGTTTCAGTTTTCTAGATGAATGAATTACACAGATATTTAAAACCTCTTAAATCCAGCTAGTATAATTACGTACTGTTCTATCCACAGTGGATTTTCTGTAGTGTTCAGGTCTTCGATTATTTGTTTCTTGATTAGGGCCTCTTTGCGACGCGTCTCCACAGGAACCGATAGATTCCAGTGCTTCAGACAGCAGCACAACACAATAAAACTGATAACGCCCACGAAAAGCACAATCACCAGGGCCACCAGTCCAGCCACAGCTAAATCAAATTCATCTTGGACAATGGCTATGTAGGCGGGCACAACGTTTTCAATGGCAAAGCCAGCATAGTAATCCTAGAATGCAAGCAAACTTGCATTAAAATAAGAAACGGGATTAAGGTCGTAAGAAACTACCTTTAGATAATCGTAGTTCCTGTCAATGTCCTTGAGTATCTCGTCAACGGGAGCAATCTGTTGGGTTTGAGGATCCACGGCATGGAAGTACAGGTCACACCAGTCCATGCGGATGCGACCAATGGAGTCCAAATGGAACCGAATCTCATCCACAATAATGCGGTGCTGGGTGGCATTGCGTAACTCGGCGATGATCTCCTCCTGCTCCTGGTAAACCTCCTCCGGCGGACGGGAAAGGATTACACGCACAAGCTGAGTTCCATCAAAGACCCAAATCTATATAAAATAAAATTAATTAAAAATGTTTTTTGGATTATTCTTCGGCTATTTACATTAACTTTGGTACTGGCAGATCGCTGTGGCTGTTCCAATTCTCGGGCAACAATCTCCAGTTCAAAACGATCCTGGTTGTATTCGGCCATGATTGTGTTGGCGGTGATTCGGCCATCCTGCGAGATAGCAAATGGACTGGGAACAATCGATCCGGTGGCTTTGGTGGCACCAAACTTATATAGATTGGAGGCGACGATCATAAACTCGATCTTTGCGTTTTTGCCTTGATCCGCATCGGTGGCATTCACCAGCGTGATAGCTGCACCCATCTTGGCATTGGCATTTACGCCGGCATAGTAGACAGGCTTCTCAAAAACAGGAGGATTATCGTTTACATCCAGCACGGTGATGGCCACCTTTGCAACTGTGTTATCCCGATTCAAGGTCTTTATTGAGAACGAAGCACGTTCCTCTTCAGAGATGTGCAGATCTGCCTTGATGCTGGCCAAGATGTATAAAGTATACACATCTGTTTCTTCACGATCAAGGCTCTTGTTTGTGTAAATGTCGCCCGTCAGTTTGTCCACATAGAAGGCTCCATCCTCATTGCCCAACAGCATGTAGTAGAATATATCCCGATTGTGTTTGCTCCTCGAGGCAGCTTGAATATGACCGATTTTCACATCCCGACCACTATTCTCGTTGATTGACACCTTGTAAGGATTGGAGGCATCGGGAAACTCTGGACGATTTTCGTTGGCATCCACAATACTGACGCTGAGCAGACGTAGCGACTCAAATGGTGGATTACCCGCATCCCGGGCCACCAGAATAATGTCGTAGCTATTAGTAAAAATCCAAATTAGAAAATGTATCTATATTAGTTAAAGTCCACTTACTTTGCTCGGTTCTTGCGGTTCAACTGAGTCCTGGCTCGCAATTCTCCTGTCACTTCATCGATCTTGAATTCCCCGGTTTGCTGCTCGTTTCGGTTGTTCACCTGCAGGTGGTAGCTGATCTTCCCGTTCTCCTCCGTATCATTATCCATTGCCTTAACGGTGAGCAGAAGATAGTCCGGCTGGACAATATCGCCGGGTATCTCAATAGTCGCATTGGATAGAGCGGGTATAACGAACTCCGGCTTGTGACGATTAACCCTCAAAACAGTAATGATCGCTTTGGCTGTGCTCTCCATGGTTCCAGATCCCTGGGTATCGCGTGCTGATATCGTCAACTCGTACACGCCATGTTTTCCGGTCAAACTTTGTGCAGGATACACAATGCCCGACTGAGCATCGAGTTTAAAGAGCGCCATTTCGTTGCCAGCCGTGATGATGTAGCGAACATCCCCATAAAGACCTTCATCCTGATCGATGGCTTGCACTTGGAGCAAGGCAGCCGGAGGTTGATAAGCGGCATTTTCCGCTACCGTGGAGTTGTAGACATCTCGTGTGAAAACGGGAGCATTATCATTGACATCCAGAATGTTTATGTGGATCTTTTAGAAGATAAATATAATTAAATATAAAAGTAATTAGAACTCCTTTCATTTTTTAATGAGGGTTGAATTTTATAGCCTTTGTGTAACTCACCGTTGCCGTCGCTGATTTCTGGACAGTAGCAGGAGCCTTGTCCTCAGCCACAACGGAAAGTGTTAGCTCCTTGATCTGCTCCCTATCGAGTATAGAGGCATTTGCCACCATCACGTTGCCCGTGTAGGCATCGATGCTGAAGTGCTTATTATTCTCCCCAATCAAAGTATAAGTGATCTCGCCAAAAACTCCTACATCTCCATCCCGTGCTTCAACCTTTCCTGCCACAGTTCCCCGCGGAGAGTTCTCCGTCAGGTTGAAATAGTAATCGGATTGAGAGAACTTTGGATCATTGTCGTTAAGGTTTATGATATCCACAATCACTTCAGCAGTGGCTGTCAAGGCGGGAACACCCGTATCACTGACGGTTGCCTGGAATTTAACCTCCTTGACTGCCTCGTAATCCAATCGCGCAATGGTGTAGATCACTCCGCTGGTCTGATTAATGGCAAAATAGTCATTGTCACTGATGTTGAATTCGCCAATGCTGGAATCTTCATCGGTGGCCTGCAGAGTGGTCAGTACGGTGCCCACTGGTTGCTCCTCTACCATTTGCAGCTTGATCTGCGGCTGTTCAACACTCCATGGTGCATTGAAGCGCTATTAGAATGAAAAGATTATTATTAATGTACCTTAGGAAACACAATCAAAATTAGCTGCTTAAATTTAAAGTGTGATTTCTCAGCGTAAAAAGCATGATCAATGAGTTCTCCTACACAAAGCTTAAACTTCTGTTCATCAATGTCTTTGTCATATTGCACAATGCCACTTATTTGAATGTATATCGCCTATATGGAGACTTAAGAAATGTTAAGGATGAAGTTGATGGCTCTAATGAGGAGATTTGGATCAGGGAAATCTTCACTTTTCTCATCAGTGGTCTCATAGTTGTCCGATTCCTATTGAGCTTTGTTGGATTAGCTTCGAACATAGTGGCCATGTGAGTGATTTAATCATGGGAAATCTTTAACTATTAAGCTTAACTTGTATCCATTTTAGATATCCCATTTTAACTAATTCTCAGGCTGAGATGCTTATGCCCACCATTATTGTGCAAGCAATTGACAATGTGATCCTGAATCTCTATGAGATTATTTTGGGCTATGGCAGTTTGTGCTATCTTTATCCTGAAAGTACAGCTGTTTTTATCTATTTTCTTTTTAAGATGGCGGTGAAGATCGTCTGCAGCATTTCTGCACTGTATGTATTATATATGACATTAAAAATCAAAAATGTAAAGCGCCTAATTTCATAACTTTAAAAGAAATATTTATTCCGATCAGCACAATCACTTGGTAAGTCTGCTAAACTTCAACGAGGAGTCCCAGAGCTTTGGACCAGATAGTGTGGATGAAATTGAGTTGGCTAACCAAAATTTTGATGTAGCTAGCTAAACTTAAGGATTTCCCCCATTAAAAACTATTTGTAATAATTATTGTACTAACCGGTGGAATCTTGTTGACATCAATGATTTGTATAATCAGCAATCCGCGACCCTAAAATGTAAATAGGATTATAAAAACTTTAAATTGTTTTTTATCTAGTAAAAACCTTACCTGCTGGACATTGGGAGCTGTGCTGTCCGTGACCAGAACATTAATCCTCATCACCGCAAACAGATTGCGATCCAACTGCTTGTTAACCGAAACCTTTCCGTTTCTGGCGATGGCAAAGTACTCCTTGAACTGATCATAGTGGGGAAGTTCCTTGCCCTCCTTATCAATTGCGGTAATGTCATCGGTGGCGGCGAACTCCAAGGCATTATGACTGGCAACATCCGGATCGAGGGCGATTAAAGTATACACCAGCTGGCCAGGAGGAGCATCCGCTCGCACCTCAGCATGCTGAGTGGCCGGCACAAAATAGGGATCTTTGTCATTACTGTTCTGTACATTTATCGTAAGAGTTGCGGTTCCCGTCAAACTGGGAGTTCCCAAATCGGAGGCCTGAACCTGCAGCTGGTAGGTGTTCCTTCTATCGAAGTCCAGTTTCCGGGAAACAAACACCTCTCCGGTGCGCTCATCAATCCCAAAGTCGTTGAAGCTTCCCTGCTGGATGCGATAGCGAAGTTCGGCGTTCATTCCCGTGTCCAAATCGGTGGCATGCACTCGCTCCACACTCGTTCCAATCTCGGAGTTCTCCTCGACATCCGCTCTATAGCTCTGCTGCTCGAACTTGGGCACATGGTTGTTGACATCCCGCACTGTGATGTTCACACCGCAATGGGCGGTGAAGAGTCCGTCGTTGGCTTCCACCACAAAGATCAGCTGATCGCTGTTCAAGTTGGTCACATCCAGAGTGGCATTCGGTCTGATGGTGATCTGCCCGGTCTCACGATCAATGTCGAAGATACCCTCAACCTGCTCGGATCCCCGAATTCTGTAGCTTATCCTTGACATGGTGTCCGCATCCCTTGCCTTTACAATCAGCGGGGAATCGAATACGACTGCACCCTCATCCACGCTCGCCCTGTACAGTGGACTCTCGCAAACGGGCGGCGAGTCATTGGCATCGGTTACGGAAATCCGGAGGGAAACCACAGAAGCCGAACCCCGACCATTATCATCGGTAGCCTGTTAGCAAAATTACACATTCTTGATTAGATTTATATTGTTAAAATAAATAAACACATTAAAACCTAAATTATAACATCAAAACCTCATATTTTCCCATTAGTTTAACACCACACACACACCAGATTAGTATCACGAATTATGGTAAAATGCCTAAATTTAATGTACATAAATAATTATCATTTAGTGTCCTTCCGTTGTGAATAAATTTTGCTTACTACGTTACTGAAAAGGATTGATAATAATAATTGTTTACGTTAATTAATTTATTCAGCTAATAACCATATTTGTTTTTGATAAAAGCACAGCTTTTTGTAAAATAGAAGGGTTTAGAAACGCGCTCTCAATTGAAGAGGAGTTAACTGAACATTAGCTCACTCTTACGAATTAAAACTGATTTACCCAAACAAGTGGGCGAGATAAATTCCTAACTAAAATTAACATATAACTAAAACAAAATAATTCTCTGTTGGAAACTTTTTGTTTCCTTTTCTCATTCACTAAAAAACAAAGCTGTATTTAATACTATGCTTAATAGTTTTTAAGCTCTTTATATAAATCATTTTTTGTTCTTCCCGATATAAATCAGGCTTAAGGTGTTCAAGTGTTGTATCATGAAAAATCAAGACCGCAGGCCTGAATTTTAATCCAGTTTCGTTATTTATTATCCTCGTTTTTGATATCTGCCTGCCTACACGAACTGCACGAAACCTATCCCACATGGCTTCCCCGGCCAAAATACGCACATAAAAACCTTGCCACCCGCACACGAAGATTGAGACAGTCACTCACCTTGTATGACAAGAAGTACGTGTCCTCCGATTCGTAGTCCAGACACGTCTGCGGTGCCTTGTCGTCATTAGCAGTCGGTGCGGGAGCTCCTCCAGCTGGAGATGGGGATGCAGCTGAAACTGGAACTGAAACTGGAACCGAAACCGAAGACAAGGCTTGCTCCTCTGGCGCCTGGGTGATTAACGTGTACTGGACGGTCGGCTCTGTGCCAATCTCTCTGGGCGCCGCCTCCATCGAGAGCATTTCCAGGCGACCCTCACCATCGTCGCCGGCATTCTCATCCTCGTGCAGATCACGTCGCTCGCGCCTGTGACTCTCGCCTTCGGCATGGCAATCGGCCAGGCTAATAACACCTGTCTGCTCGTTGACATGGAAAAGTTCAGCTCCACTTCCGGACAGGCTGTAGCGAATGCCCAGGTCGCCATAACTGCCGGAGTCCACATCCCGGGCCGTAATGGTGGCAATGTACTGACCCGGAAGCGCCGCCTCCGAAACGGATGACGAGTAGCTCTCCTGCTCAAAAAGCGGCTTATTGTCGTTCGCATCCAGCACACTGACCGTAATCGTTGCCGTTGACGAGAGCTTAGGATTGGTGTCCGTCTCCTCGGCCACCACCAGTACGATAAACTTCCGCTGGTTGGGATTCTCGTAGTCCAGCGAGCCGTTCGCCACGCGAATGTTCACCTGCGAGTAGCCGGTGACCACTTTGGGCTCCACATCGAAAACCCCGGATACGTCGTCTAAGCGCAGCGAAAACTTCGAGTTAATACCCACATCAGCATCGCTGACGCTCATGTCCAAGGCGAGGGGCGTGCCGGGGGGCGTGTTCTCCAGCAGGGACACGGAGTACTCCTTGCGATTGAACACCGGCGGAGAGTCGTTAACATCCCTAATGGTCACCGTTGCCTTGGCAGTTGCACTTGTCAGTGGATCATCGCTGGGCACTCCATTCACCAGCTCACGAGCGCGAATCACCAGCGAGATAATGCCGGTGGAGTCCTCCAGAGCTTCCCGATCCAGTGGTTTAGCGGTACGCAGCTCACCGGACTGAGCATCCAACAGGAAGTAGTCATTGGGATCTATTAATAAAATAATTAAGGTTGTATTAACGTGAGTTTACCATTTAGTCAACTCTAACTTACTTGTCCTTAAATCGTAGACTATCTTTCTCGGTTCACCCGTATCACCATCTCGAGCATGAACCGTAAGAACTAATGTGTTAATGGGACTATCCTCATCGATCACCGTGGAAAGGGAGCCTTGGAACACAGGTGGCTTATCCTGGACATCCTTCACCCTGGCCTCAAAGGTTGTCTGGGTTTTGTGCGGTCCATCGGTGGCTTCGATTTGGAAGTGGTACACCATCCGTTGGTTGTAATTCAGGGTGTCATTGAGGACCACTGATGCTTCCAGAATGGTGGCGTCTCGCTTGGTCACATGCAAGCGGAATCTGAACGGAAAAATAAAAGAAATTTATTTAAATGTCCTGTTTTGCATTGATGATTGGGGAACTCACTTGCTGCAGGCCTCAGGACTTTGTTGCTGAGGCAAGCACTTCAAGTCGAGACTGTCTCCAGCTATATCCCGATCCTTTACAAGAATTTTGTCGAAAATGGTTGTTCCCACCTTAGCATCCTCGTTTACATCGGCCTCATAGGGAAGCTGTAAAACAAAGTATTAAAATATTATAGAATTACTTAATAGATACCAATGTAATAAGTATAACTACTTTTGTTCTATCAATTTTATTATTAAGAAATATTTTTTTGTTTTATAATAGTATTGTTATTTACTTACGTTCTGAAACTCTGGCGGATTGTCGTTAAGATCGAGAATAATAAAAGTGATCGGCACTTGAACGACATTATCCCGTTCTGATTCTCCTTCAGGATCTACGCGATCCCTGATCGACACCAGGAAATTCAGGGTATCCTTCTCCTCTCTGTCCAGTGGTTTGATCAGGGTTATATTTCCAGAAACTGGATCCACACTAAAGTGATCCGCACCAATGGCTCCGTAGGTCACGGGACTTCCCTCGGGATCGTAGGCTTCCAGCCGGAAAACAACTGTACCCACTGTGACATTCTCGTAGAGGATAATGTTGTTTAAGGTCTGCGTAAACACTGGAGGCAGATTTGTCTCCGCTGCTTAAAAAGAGGCAAAGTTTAAACTGTGTGAATTTCTTTAGGTTTTCTTTTGATTCTCACCCTTGGCAAGGCTCAGGCCCAGACAGATCATAAATAGCCCCAGGGGGAGCTTCATTTTGGAGCTACAAAGAAAAACAAAATAAACATAAATTGTTTGCTCAATTTTTATATTTCGATAAAGAGTGGGACCAATGAGCTTAAACCAACAGATTTGCGAGACAAACAGGAGACAAGCAAAAAATCAGAGTTCAATAAAGGCGAAGTTCAAAATGCTCTAAGCAGGTGTGAAAACAAATATTAAAACAATTAATTGGAAAAAATAAAATCTATGTTCAACTAAAGTTATAATTTATTTAACATTTTGAAACGCTTTTTCCTAAAAAAAAAGGACATTGCAATCAAATGCAATACTGAGAGTATATTAAAATCCTTTTATCATATTTTAGGGTGTTGTATATTGTTATTTGATTTTTTCGACTCTGTCCTTGTTTTTGTTTTTGGCCATTTGGTGGCATAAACAAACAATAAAGATAAATTAAATTTCATTTCGTGCTGAAAATTCAATTAGCTGACAATGCACACGGGCCAGTGAGAGCGTGACAACGATGATGCGGATGATGATGATGGTGGCAGTGGTGGCTGGTGGCTGCGGCATCAGAGGGGCTACTGATGATGATGGCTATAACAACATAACGTTGTTGATGACAAGCAGCAACAAGAGCAACAACAAAATAAGGCAGCAAGCAACATTGTGGCAAATTGTGCACTTTAACTGCGGGTTGGGGGTGGGGCCAGGCCAGTGTGTTGGCCAAAGGGGCGGGCTTTTGGAGTCAGGGAATCGCCTGAAGGCGCCAACATTCCTGTTGCGTCCGTCCAATTGTCCGGCACGCACCACCTAACCGAGAACCAGCATTGCGATGCTCCTGACCAGGGGCGCACATATCTGCCAACCAGCAGACGGGCAGCCGGGCGATGACCACACAAACAGTCGAAGGAACGGTAGCACACTCGAAAAAACAATCTTCTGTTATAAACATTTTTTTTCTGGAAGTGGCAATAAAAACTAAAGAGTGCTTGGCCCTCTAGAATCTTAGTAACATTTAAATTCAGCATTTTATCTGAATGGTTTTCTGTTTAACACAAAAAATATCCTGTGACTGATTACCATAAAACTTTGTGATACCTTTATCTTAATCGTTGTGGTTAATATTTTAAAGAGATTAAATAGTTAAATGTTTATTAAAAACAAATTAAAACAACCTTGAATTTGTTGCCGAATACAGGCCATTTTTTCGACTGTGCATAAGCAAAAGCAGCAGCAGCAAACATAAGCGAGAACCAAAACCAGGCGCAGAGCCAATTAGTTATGCATAAAAGCTCGACTAAATATTTTCAGTTTGGACCATGTTTTGTGTGGGTTTATTTGCTTACAACACGGGCCGAGAGCCTAAACGGGCAGCACGAGCAACAGAATACACACCCCAAATAGTAAGTATGCCTGTCTGGCTGAGTTGGGTCCATAAATTCACCTACAAGCGTTTTGCAGTCGCCCGGCACTGACCATAAACTGAACATTTTAGGGTTAAGCGGGTTTGTTTTCGGGTCTGCTGAGGGTTTGTCGGGCTTGGACTTAAACACACTCCCCCCCGTCACGAAACCCAACTCAATCTCCACCGCAGGCCAAAAGTTCAGGCTGGAAGACAGAATACTCTAATGGCGAATAAACTGTGAGCAGACAGAATAAATGTTTAAGCTTGAGCATCGAGCTTAAAGACACACTTTTGCACTTTGAAAATCAGGATTAAACAAACTTTTAATTCATTAAAACGGATATATAAAAAATATATCCTGCTATTCAATATTTTATAGTTGTTCACAAACCAATAAATGCTTTACTTGCAATTTGAAGTTATAAAAATATTTATCATTTTAAATTTTATGTTACTGCATGTCCTGACTGATAGACCTTTGATGTTTTGTTACCCTTTCTTACCCAGAGCTCGATATAAATTTAATTCAATATTCAACTGGTTGCCACCACAGAAAGCATACATCGTCGCTTTCCGACTGTTTGTCCCCCTGACGCTGCTGAAATATCGTTTAGGGTTTATATTTGGTTTCCAATGATATTCCGGTTGACTCCATTGGCAGGGGGTTTAGTCGAGCTTTGTCCCGTTGATTATAACTAAACAGTGGGAATTTATGGATGTCTAAATCATGTTACCCCCAACTGAATAGATTGGTAGCCATTGTGCGTTAATCTATGGGGATTATGAGCTCAGTCTTTCGAGCAAACAGCGTCCAATGGACTTCCATTGTCTCCTCGTCGGCCAGGAACTAATGATTGTCCCTATGCCATTTCAGACTGCATCGCATTAAGTTGGTACATAACGTCTCCTGAGCTCTATGGAAATTTCATTGCATACAAATATGATAGAATTTCCGGAGCGAAATAATTGCCAGAATTTTGTCGCCTTTGCAAGCTTTAAATATAAGCAAATATGCAAACGGATGCGTCGATATGCATGCAAATACTATTTGCAACGTGCACTACTTTCCCTTAAGGTAGTTTATTCTTAAAGGTTTATTTACAAGTTTGATTTTTAAGGATTTAAATTTAATCTCAAGTGAATTAAACTATAAGGTATTACAAAAAGAAACAAACACTGAGTGTTTCTCACAATTTATTTGGAGCTTAAATTTGATGTGGTGAAGTAAACAAGTCACTTACTGATTCACACTTGTACTGGCTTAAAGTCTTTGGGGATTCACAGCTGTATTCCCATCGAACATTTTCATCATTTCCCTCAATTTTCTGGCTCCGCTGAAGCGAACAGATTTCCCCCATACCGCTAATAACCCGCAGTCTCCTGGCAATATATTTTTTGGTTATTCACCAGCCCGTTCTCCCGCTCTGTGTCAATATTATATCACGGCCATTAAGGCTGTCTCCATAAATATATATACCCGCACGTATATGGACACGCGTTCACTGAAGCTTAACCAATATCAATCATACAGTAAATTTATATTGCATTTACGTATTTCCCTTTTCATGTTTGTCAATCCAAAGCCGAAACAGGAGGGGATTTGCAATCCTTCCCCAACTCCATCCAACCTGTTGATGATTCAAGCCTTTTTGCCGAGGTGGCAGTCACAATTCATCCCCGAGGTCAGGTCGTTTGCCCCAATCGCTTTCGCGTGGCACCATAAAAAACCATGTGTACTTGAGTCAAATTTATTTTTTACTCCTGTGGCAGATGAAGTGGAGTTTGAAGTTTGGCAATCCTTCGAGCAGATTGCCTCCACTTCTGGATCCCATCCATCCCTTTTTCCTGCCATGTCAAACATAATAAATCATATTTATTTAAAATACATTTTGCTTAGCCAGCTTGGCTTTCGTCCTGTGCTCCTTTGGCTCATTCTTTTGGGGATGGCCATAATAATTGAATTAGGTGCGCTCCAAGAGTCTTTACTTCTCGGTTCACCCAATGCTTTTTGTCCCCCTCATCCGATTACGGCTAATGCTAAAAACTTGTTTGTCCTCGACTGTTGCGCGGTTTTCGCCGCTAATCCGGGGAATCCCACTACGACTGTGACTGGCTGGCAAACTTGACACTTGAGTTCGCCGAATCCGTAACTTTTTCGCTTTTCTCGCACTTTCCAGACCAAATACTACAGAACCGCGGATTTAAGGGAATAAAAGGTTGGGGAATTTTTTTGTAAAGAAAAGATAAAGTCCATAAAGTCCACTATAATATCAATATCTATAAAGTTTCAAGTTAAGTGTAACGTATTAAATAAATTTTTAATATTGCAGTAACCAAAAAGTACTCAAGTAAACCAGTTTTTATTTAAAACAATATAGAATCGGTATTAAAATCGATTGTTTATATGTTAGTAAAAATTTTACGTAAATGGCAATGCAATTTTTTTGTGCCTGAACATTTTGGTAAGGGTATTTCGCTTCAATGTTTCATCTTTGCCACCGTTATTCTTTTTATCTGATTTTAGCCCTCGTTGGCATAATAAAAATGTCAAAGTCCGTATGCCGCCGCTTGTAATACATTTTATTCATAAAATGTGTTTTTTTTTACGATTTCAGTCGGCTGTTGCCTAGCTTATTTCCCGTCTATCTTTATTTTTCGTTCATCATCTATTTTTTATTTTATTTTTTCTTCAGCTGCTTTGTGTGTGTGTGTGTGCGACATTTGTTGGGACTGATGATGATGATATCCCAAATGCGGGGGAGGTGAGGTTCACAAAGTGCTCCACTTAAGTATGCTATGTAAATCACCTGTGCGAGTGCCTCCGCTTTTCCCCCTCAGGTGACATCCCCTCCCCGCGGCCAACGAACGTGTCAGTGCCGTCATTTTCTTTATGTCTTGCAGTTTGCTTGGCCCAAAACGTCGCCGGCGAAAAACCTTTGCCAGGGATTCTATTTAAACGGCATTATCTTCAGTTGCCGCCTGGCCTTATCTCACCTACCACCTTCCCCTTTCCACCGCTGCCGTTAGCTCCTTGGAGATGCCTCCACATTTTTCGTTCGCATTTAAATTGCTCTTTTTTTATTTGCGCCTTCTGTCCCCATTTTGTTGGCAGTGGAGACGGGGGTGTTAGGATTTCCCTCTTAATTTATTCATAAGCCTGATGGCGTTGGTTGGGCGGATAAAGGGGGGTGTTCTACTTCTTGAGTGGGCCAACATCATTACTATTACTCATGCAGGGCACACAAATACACTTATACACACACACACACAGTAACACCAAGTCAAACAAACTCGCACACACTCACGTGCGTGTTCCGCCGTAACTCAAAGTTGTCCTGTCCGTGTTTGTTTGGGAACCATCCCCATGCTCAAAAGTCAAAGTTTCCTCATTCTTCTGGCTTGTTTTTGTTATTTTTTGCTAAGCAATTTTCACATTCACCTGACTTGCCACGGCCCCTCTTCTTCTTAACTCCCGATTCATACCGCCTCGCATCGCTCATCGCCCCTTCACAGTTTCACAGATTTGCGCTGTATAATTATGCCTAGCTCGGCTCCTTACAATCCATATAAGCCATGAACAGTGCGTTTCAAAAATATAGGTCGTAAAATTAGAAAACATTTTTCGATGTAAA